TTTTTAGCAGTGGGGGGGAAACCGAAGGACCTGGAGAAAACTGATGAGGTTTAACAGGTGACCTTGTCACATACAAGCTGGTAATCAAAAAACACACCACTCGACTCAATGATAGACCTTGATCTAAAGCACACACATTAGTCCACTTGACCACCCAACCCCTCAGCTGAATACAGACTTGGATATCAGAATTGCACCCTAAAATACCAGTCTACAAAAAGGAATATATATACATATGACAAGAGTAATATGATTTAAATCAGATGTCTTTCAATTTTGTTCTTTGTTTTATATTTTGAAAGACTCAATTTTACTTAAAGTATCATTTGAAGGATTGTTAATCTGATATTGTGAAAGATTAAAATCAAAGTAAAAGGAATAACAATCCAAAATTAATATTTAATATTTAGAAAGATATGATTTTAAGATTTAAGATTTTATTGCATCATTTAATCCATCCATTAAAAACATCATACAGTTTAAACAAAAGCTGATCATACAATTACAAGATAACATCTGTGGTGATCATTTATGGATGTACGAACTAAAAAGATTTTGCAACATTCGGCAATATTTCTAAATCTTGACTCCTGTATCATTAATATTTCTAAATCATGACTTGTGCATCATTTATCCTTTCCTCTACTGTTATTTCATACACGGAATGTTGTTCAGATGTTTATGGTGTAAACGTGCTAAACCCATTGTTCTATTTAAATGTGTTGTGGCTTTACTCCCCCACATAAAACATGTCAATTTTTAAAACAAAAATGTAAACAATTGTGGTGAAGGGATTAATTATTTAAGCAATGAATCAACAATTTAATTTTTAAACAGTGAAAAAGATGTAAAGAGAATGTAGAAATAGAAACAAAACATTTAACACACTACAGGTTATGTAAAACAGTGGTAATTAAGTCATGCAGGATCAGAAATGAGGGTGTTGAAATAATGTGGTAAGGCAAGCTAAGCACATGTCAAAATCCAAACATTACAGAACATTGAAATACTCCTAATTTATTATCTGTAGCATAACTGATTTACATTTCTGTTTTTTACTGTAATTTCTAAATTGAATGGCAGTTTTTGGTGTCTGGTTACTCAAGTCTACACCAGTAGTATTCTCCTGTGATATGTGGTTAGCCTCGTTCATCAAGTCGCTTCATTACAAATGGTGCTCGGAAGCATTCTGGCACGAGATTTGTGTGCCAATTTGATTTAAATTGACCAATAAGTCATGTTTGCAATGTCGAAGACTGTGAATGATATTAAGACTTGCCTCCTTTAATCTAAACCATGAGTACAAAACATAAAGTCTCGATGCCATCTTGATCTCAAAGTTCAAGGAGAGAATTAATGCTGAATTTAACTTAAAGTAGCTAAGTCTCTAACTCAATATCATCCAAAATCTTTGACATTGAAAACACGAATTATTTGTCAATTTAAATCAACATTGATGTTGTGATCTTACGGGGAAAAGATGGGCTTCTGATATCCATTAATTAAGACAAAATAAACATTTTAGCGTTGGTACACGAATCGTGTACCATGGTGCATTTCAGCGCCATTTTTAACAAAGGACTCGTAGAAAGAGGCTAGATATATTCCACAAGTCATGTCAAACGGTGATGCCATATTCCTATCTGGAGAGCATGCACAATAAATACTATCGGTATAGAGTGGAATAACCAGACGTTATCTAGAGATTGCCTTTCTATTGAGACTTAACATAACTGATTAGAAATTGCAGTAAAAACAGAAACGATTGAATGTAAATAAGTTTATATACATTCACATAACATTATTATATGCGTTGCGACCCATTTGTGTCAATTTCTAGATCCCAAATATTAGCAATTTAGTTCTTTTAAGACTATATATAAATTTGTAACACTGCTGAATCAATACTGAATTAATATAAAAACTTGCCAAGACTTACTTCATAAAATAAATATGTCTTTTGTGTGTAATATATTATTTGAAGATGACTTGTCGGAGTTGATTCTAGCCATGTTAACAATATGGCATCATATGATTACAAGAACATAGTGGTTTGAATGCACATGTTGCACGGTGTGGTAAACAATAGCTCAACAGGTGTTTTTTTACAATTATTTGGCATTGGCAAATTTATACTGTACATATTGTGACGATAAAATATCAGAAAATATGTAAAGCTTACACCCCACTCATTATAACAATAAAATATTATAAAGAAGCAAACAGTGAGGCGGATCCGCCCCCTCCCCCTGTCACAAAATAAATAATTAATTGCACAGTTATCTTTGCATCAAGCAATCAAACTTAGCCTGAGCACAAAATGCTCACCATATAGGAGAGAGAGAGAGAGAGAGAAAGAGAGAGAGAGATGGTTTAATATCTACTTGACACAAGCTAGGTCATTGTGGGACTAACACATAGTTCAATTTTATTTCAATAATTCACTTGCGCATAGGGGTCTTTAGCAGTGGGAGGAAACCTGTGGACCCGGAGAAAATCCATGAGGTTGGATAAGCGACTCTACTCCTTGTCACGTATAACTGTTGAATCGAAACCACGCTAGTTGACTCAATGACAGACCTTATGATACAGCATGCATAAGCTAACCATCCCCCCCCCCCACTGAGTCAAGTGGCATGGTTTCAATTCATAGCTTGTTTGTGACAAGGACTAGGGTTGCCTGTCTAACCTTGTGGTTTTCTCTGAGTCATCCGGTTTCCTCCCACTGCTAAAGACCCCTCCGAGCAAGCAAATTATTGAAATAAAGTTGAACCATGTTAGTCCCAAAATGACCTGGTTTGTGTCGATGGACATTTAACCCTATTTCTCTCTCTCGCTCTCTCACTCAATCAGAATCAGTCATCTTGTCCAAAAGCATCAACCAAATTGCTTATCTTTGCTTAGTCTTAAGCAGAAAATATTCATCAAGGAACTGAATTGTGTCCCAAAAACTGTGATGGACAGATTAACAGACAGACAGACGAATTAACCCATTTTAATAGTCCCCTGCATTCTTCAAACAAATTAATTCATATACAAGTGTATAAATAATGCAAATGTGTCATGTGGACATAACATTGTCCCCACAAGTGTACAAATATTCAAGAACTGACAACCAATGTCGTTCACATTCGAGAAAAAGAAATAAAACAAATACAATTATTGTTTGTACCAGTACACAGGTTTGCGGTGAACAACTTCCAAAAATAGGTTGTAATTAGTCTGTTTTGTTAAAGATAAGGTTATCGCACATTAGTAACCAAAAGAATGAAAATGCCCCAAGACAAGTGTAACACTCTTTTGCATAGTAATCATTCTGCATTTGTTTCATGACTTTAATATACATGTTATGGTAGGTCGATCTGAAAGATGGCAAGAGCTTTAAACAGGCGAATGAGCCAGTATTGTACCTCAGGTCAATCCCCACACTAAACAGTATGCTTCGGCAAATATGTGATCATGAAAATCTACATTAAAGACTTTAAACAGGCGAATGAGCCAGTATTGTACCTCAGGTCAATCCCCACACCAAACAGTATGCTTCGGCAAATATGTGATCATGAAAATCTACATTAAAGGCTCAGAGGCAGTTCTGAATTGTACAACTCTAATATCATGTGTGAATATCACTCATTATATTTATTATCTCTTTGAAATTTCAAAGCTGCTATTAATCACAATGGTTGGATAGCCTATGCACAATGAAAATCATTGACTATCTGTGAAAAGTACTTTTATTAGGAATAATGCAGTAATAGACATACTCCTTTAACCTGTGACATAATTACTATCCATACACAACACTCTATATGTCAAATACATTTAACAGTGTAATAGTCAATGCAATCATACGACACTCGAACCCGAGTCATGTCAACACGAACCAAGGGTAGCAATGATTTATGGACAGCAGCAATCAAAGTTTTCCGTAGTACGAACCTGCTTTTCGTGCATAATCAAAAATAAGTAATATATAAAATACATTGTCATTTTCTCGTATATAATGTATCTATAATATGTATTGTAATGTGTATAATGCACTAATAGCAGTGGTTCCCTACTTATTGTTGGATGCGACCCCATTCCAGAAACCATCATCTGATCGCGACCCCTTGAAGAACAAAGTCACCTTTTACTATGAAACATCATCATTATTTACATATCAAAATGTCGTAATGACAGATTGAGGAAACAAATCGTGAGCATGAGGAAGGAGAGACGATTATTTGTATGCTTTTCATGAAAACATAACATTTTTTCAAAAGTTTCAGAGTAGTCATCCACAACCCCACCATAGCATTTTTTCAAAAGTTTCAGAGTAGTCCGCCACAACCTCATGAAAAGTGCTGCTGTGGTCGCGACCCAGAGGTTGGGAACCCAGGATCTATAGTATGCATTATATTAAATGTGTATAATGCATCTATAATATGCATTATAATGTTTATGATTAAATACATCTATAGTATGCATTATAATGTGTAAAATGAGTCTATAGTATGTATGATTGCAAATATCTTTTACCATGTAAATAATATCCTGTTATATAACCTACTAATCCTCTTTTGATAAATAAGATTTTGCATAATGTTTATTATAATATTTGAATTATTATAAGTAAATTTATATTATTATTATATCAGATTATTGCATTATCCATGCTGCACTTATTCAATAAAATATGGCACCAAAACAAATCTTACTATGCATGACTGCAACATTGTATAATTGCCTGCAGTTATTGTTTACATATTTACCAATAATATTATGTGTAATTATCTATACATGTATCTTACTTTTTTTTTTGTCTACTATAGAATGATGTCAATCAAGTCTATAATGATAGTCAGTAGACACTGACATTTAGACGCATCCTCTATTTATTATGATTTGTGACTGGGGAGCATTGCTCTATATAACAAAAAAAACCACACACACCGGGACTGTAGGAGTTTTTAATGATGGAGGAATTTACAACACCGATATAATAAGATGCCACCTACCTATTTTCTGATTAAATATCTTGTCAAATGTGACTTCGTGATTTTTAGTTAAATGCTTGTGCATAACACTCCTCACGCTGAAATAAATAGAGAACATAATATACATGATCTATATACCATAGTGAATATGTAATAGCTCAAGGAACGGATGACAGGGCACTGTCGGCTCGCTTTGATCTCCAAACACATACGGTACATCGACAATTAAATACACAAAAACGAGCTCGTCGTACACACCTTGGATCTGGTAATACTATTTTTTTGCTGGCTCTGGCGGCAGGAGTCGATTTACTCTTCTCCATTGCCATTAGATAGCTCACATCGGCCAATACTGCTTCCAGATCCGCCATTTTGGAAGTTTATGTACGGAGGCTGGTACAGATTCTATTCCAAATCGACTAGCCTTGCAAACCAATCGTACGAGTTAAAACACAATAATTCACAAGCTGGACATTATCACCACGTATTCCAATGTTTAGGGACATAGGACATTATTTAATAGCAGGCTAACTGAAGTAATATAACTGTGAACACTATGGCAAACCGCCACTCACTACGCCACTGTCTCAGTCCAGCTCACATGTAAATATTAATTAGAAAGCAGAGCGAGGCGCGAGAGAATAACGGTAGGGAAATAGTGAGCCTATTCGTTCGTCGTGCTAGCACATAACGCCGTACAAAGCTTATTGATTTCGAGTTATTTCGATCTAAAATGCCATATCATCTATATAGGTGATGCCAGTACAATTAATCACTGGAACCATATATTACACGGCTATTGTATGATTGTTGCTCAATAGTACCTCTATACTATAATGAACTAACTGTATGTCATTGTAATATTCATAATATATTAAAATTACATGATAATAGGGTTCGGGTAAAAACCGTCTCGCATTTCCACATTAAATGCTTAGCGGTGGTTAATGCTTTAATACAGGTATATTACATGCATAATGATTTATATCGTGTAATATTGTCCACCCATTCCGTTTATCTTTATTATTTACCACTGATTTATGCAATCAGCATAGTGTAAAAATTTTAACGGGCAGTGAATGACATAACGACATTACCTTCTTTTTTTAGTGCATTACATTATCATAGCAGATCGGGCTCGTATTCTTCGCAGTGCATACAAACTGCATAAAATACCATGCTGCAGTTATCATATTTTGGTCGGGTCATTTCGTGCGATATTGCAGAGACGTTGAGACATGGACACACATGTCATTTAGCAATGCATATTCGGTATTAAAAAGAAATACACGGATTTAGACAAGTGATACCCGTAAAGTTGGACATTAAAATATATGAATATGATATTTCAATCAAAATTCTTGTTTTTGTCAATAATATGGAATTTTATCGCAGACAGATAAAGATGAGGTTATTTTTATTATGGCCGAGGTTATATTCGGCTTTTTTTGATCTGAAATTGTTAATTGATCGGTGGAGTTTTATACAATATACTTATTAATTAATAAATTGTGTGATAAAATCCATATCCCTCGGGATGATAATGTTTTATAACGAATTTTATTAACAATTTCTGATATAAAAAAAGAAGGTTGTAACATATGTCTGACCATTACCAAAGTGGGTTCCTGAAGTTCAGGTCTCATCTTCTAAAAAATCCCAAGTGCCCATTTTTCCAACCATGTGCAGTGTCAAATGTTTTCAAAAAATTGGAGCTCGGATGTTGAGATTTCGCCCGTACACGTTAAAAGCAGGCGATAGACGATTTAATTTACATTTGTGTCAATTTCCGACATAAAATGTGCTATTTGTAGTCGTCGAGGCCGAGTCGGTTATCGCGCACATAACCAATTTCGCAAATTCATGTAGTTTCCACCTGAACTGGTGTAATGTTATACATTAGTTGGGTGTTATTTCATCAAATTCCTGCTGCAATTGCTTTACAAATGCCTTGTTTCTCGTTCTGTTTCCTTAAGTGTTTGGTTCATCAATAATAAAAGTAACAATAAGCACATACACATGGCATACGGCCTTGGGTAATCTATATCAAAAACATAACATCGGTTTAAATTCACTTGTAATTCTTCTGCCTTCTAAATTTAGACTTATTTTGACTGCATCTACTAAAAAATATATTCCATGTACATCCTCATCTAATGTTTTGACATATGCTTGGGCTCCTTTTCCTTCGGTTGTCAATAAGCGAAGTGTACGAACCTCAAGCCACGGGTGTCGACAATATACTCCCACATTTGTTTAAATTGGACATGTAAAATCTGAATACATATCTGGAAACGAATTACTTTGATGTAATAACTGAAACATAAATAATTTGAAGGAAACGTCTTCTTTACAGTTTCATTTGGCATAGATTCTGATAATTAAAAAAAAAAGGCTTGAAAATGATTGATAAGATCAGTGATATTCAGCTCTATTTCTAAGAATGCAAATTTCATCACAATCATGACATGAATAACTGTAGTTCTTAGTGATTTCCTTTCCCTTGTGTAGTGCTTCGACATACTTAGATATTAAGTAGATTAGAATGGTTCGGCCATTTAATGATTTAATTTATAAATGGAGAAGAGAGGCTAAGACTCGAATGACCAGTACGGTGGTTACTATCAATACACACACCATATCAAAACTACCACCATTGATAAAGTAATATGAATGAAATTTTCAATAATTCCCCTTTAATATTGATCACATGGTGTCCTTACAATCAACAGAAATGAAATTTCCGCGCTCACTATATAGTATGCTGGGCGTATTTCTGTGTCATCGAAAATGGGGCAAAATGTATGAATGAATGAAAATGGGGTTTAACGTTCTACTTTTCTAGGTGCAAAATGTATAAAAGAACTATATCATTTTCTCCAAATTTAACTCATTACAAATATCTCCATAACAAAAGACAAGGTCATATCTGTTGAACAGTTAACACACGGATACGGAAATTATTGTGATACACTAGAGACTTTTGGCAAGCGGAATTGTCCCATCCGTATCGTATACGTGATACGTGATACGTTGCGTCATTGTAGTTTAAGAGTTTTGGCAGATTTTCGTGTCGCGTACGTGTGCGTCGATCAGCCGAGCTTAGTTCTATTACAGCATGATGGCAGATATCTACCAAGATCACCATCAGTACTAGTCAAGTGCCTATTAGAGCCGAGCTATTAAAAAAAATTAATGTCGAATCTTATTTAAAATCTTCGACTTCGACTCGACTGCAATTTTTGGTTTCACTAATGTATCATTTCAGAAAGTTTATACTCCTTTACCACAGAATAAAATCATTTACAGATTTACAAGTTCTAGAATACACAAAGATTCATAAAAACACTACGATACAACATTTCAGCGTCTAAAAGTAGCAAAAAAGACGGTAAAAGGACACGACAATGTTATACGGACTTTTCCGTATAAAAGCTGTTCGATACACGCTGCCGTATCCGTGTGTCGTATCACGTATGAGAAATATACACACATCGATGACGTCATACGCAAAATCCATACGGACACGCGATACGGACCAGAAATTTACGCTTGCCAAAAGTCTCTACTCTGTGACTGTTATGTTATTGTGATTAATATACAGCTAATAGCTATTACATAATGAGCTTTCGTACACCTGCGTCTTAAACCAGATAAAACGCCACTGATTTATAGCCATATACAGTAATAATTCATTGTATGATGGTGCTGTAATTATTTATTTAAAAATAAAAAAATTCTGGCACATTAATTTAATTAATTCATCAATTCACCAATAAATTATTTATAATGATTTGGTCACATGAAGAAGTTGGACATTTTTCTGTTGCATCTGTCAAGTTTTCAGTTACGTGCGTGTATACGGGGCACCGGTTTTTCATCACATACGAATAGACTCCGTTCCTTGCCAGGTCCTCCGTTCTGCACCACTAACCGGGGGGTAATTGAGTGACCAAATGGTTAACGCGTGCGCGTTGCATTATACGGTATGTCATTGAGTCAAGTGGCGTGAAATAAAATTGAACCATGTTAGTCGAGTTTGTGTCGAGTGGACGTTACCCCCCACCCCCTCTCTCTCTCTCGGCAAATGACCCACTGTGACTCCTGCAACTGTATACTGTTAGTCATAAACACAATCCCAGGGACGATAAAAGGTTGCCTACAACTGAGCAATAGTAAGTGGGCTTACCAAATGGAGAAAATAATTGTTGACCTTTTTATTCTGTAAAGAACTTTCTTTAGAGTATGTTGGTCGGATATCCTAAATGAAAACCTGAATGAATTCTATGCAAGGGAGCTAACTCCAGGTTACAGGTGCTTTATTTTTTGTATTATTTGTAATGTATATTGTTGTGCTGTATTTCTATGCTTGTTCTGAATTCATTTTAGTTCACTAGTTTTCTAAATTTAATATTATACCAGATAATGAGGTGTTCTGCAGGGTGTCGAAAGGATAATTGAGAGAACATGTAATTGAAGCAACATTCTGCCATTGTGGCATCAAAAGAAAAGGATCGAGGAGAATGATGAGGGTGGAATCTTACACTCCTTAAAAGACTTTACAGTAATACTCAGTAACTGTGCTACAAGACTGAATATAAATGTTAATAAATTACACAGTTTGGTTTAAGATGAATTAGGAAATAAATACAATTCATCAAGGGAGAGTTTTGATATTGAATTATAATATCTAAAATGAAACATCCCAGATTAACCACTTATTTATGGAGCACGTATGAGACTGACCCACTTTGTTTTCATATAAGATACCCAATAAAATACAAGACAAATCATGTCAAATTTATATTGATATTTAATGCCTCTAACAAAACTGAATTTATTGAAAATGCTATAAATAAAAACCGCCAAACTTAACAACTGCGGATAAAACTAGTGATTCTATTAAGTATATATTATAGCAACCATATACAATATACATGTTTTTAACTTTTGCAAGTCAAACATTTCGTAGGGATGCCAAATGTGTATATCAATGACATCACAGCCCTAAATATTATCTCTGTATGGGAAGTAGTTCATTAAACTTTCTTTACATAAATTATGTTAAACCTTTTATAGTATTTTTGAAAAAAAAACCACACAGTTTGGAATTAATTTTAGGAAACAGGGGCAGATCTAGTCTTTTCGTAAAATAGGGGAGGTGGTCATGGCAGTGTTCCTTGGCAAGTCAACTGAGTAACCGTAGGCTAGATGCAGGGATACAGCCTTCTTTAAGAATATGGAAGTGGTAGAGCATAAGAATTCTACTAAGAATATGGAAGTGGTAGAGCATAAGAATTCTACTCTTGTAAAATATAAATGTCCCCTATGCCGTTGGGTAAAATGTTTAAGGAATGAATATTTATTTTTTCTTATTATAATTAAATGATCTTTTATAAATTCATGATGCATGGAAAATATTATTGCTTTATGCCATTTGATTATTGGTCACATGATTCTCACTACATAATTTTGTTAAAGATATTTTCATTGTGTCAATATGGAGTCAGCGGTATCATACTGTATATGGTGTACATTTTATTCATAACAGGACATGACATAACTTTAAATGAAATAAATTATCAACAACAACCACAATTAACAATAACTATTCAACATTATTTACGTCACGTGTACACTTTTCTCTAAAATTTATCATTAACATATCAACATGCAGGACAACAATACAAATTATCATTATTGCCTTAAACTGGACTACTAAAAAACACAACCAGCGGCTGCCAGATACACCCACATTTTCGAGAGATGGATAGAGAACAAGCTAAAACGAAAGTGATTTTTCCTACAATCAAGGGCCATAATTCAGGAAATTACAAACCGATATGCGCATATATCGAAAGGAACCGAGATCTTTGGGTTATAAACTTATATTTCAAGTTTCAACGAAATCAGATAAAAATTGTGACCTCTATAGAGTCCACAACCTTGATATACCATATTTTTACGCTATTTGAGAACGAAGGACGACCATTTTGTCTGTCAGTTTTGGGCCGATTTTCACGAAATTCGAACTCAGCTGTCCTTAGGGTGTAACGGTGATATAATAATACGTTGTTTTAAATCGGATAAAAATTATGACCTCTATAGGGTCCACAAGCTAAAAACACGATTTTACGTACAATCAGGGGCTATAATTCTGGAAGTTACAGTCCGATATGTGCGAATATCGAAAGGAACCAAGATCTTTGGGTTATAAACTTACACTTCAAGTTTCAACAAAATCTGATAAAAATTGTGACCTCTATAGGGTCCACAACCTTGATATACCATATTTTGACGCTATTTAAAAAAGAAGGGCAGCCATTTTATGTCAGTTTTGGGCCGATTTTCACGAAATTCGAACTCGGCTGTCCTTAGGGTGTAACGGTGTAATTATAATACGATTTTTTAAATCGGATAAAAATTATGACCTCTATAGGGTCCACAAGCTAAAAACATGATTTTTCGTACAATCAGGGGCCATAATATAGGAAGTTATGGTCCGATATGCGCGAATATCGAAAGGAACCGAGATCTTTGGGTTATAAACTTACATTTCAAGTTTCAACAAAATCAGATAAAAATTGTAACATCTACAGTGTTCACAAGCTGAAAACGTGATTTTTCGTACAATCAGGGGCCATAATCCATTAAGTTACAGTCTGATACATGCTAATATCGAAAGGAACCGAGATCTTAAGGTGATAAACCTATATTTCAAGTTTCATTGAAATCAGATAAAAATTGTGACCTGTAGACTGTTCATAAACAATTGTTGACGGATGGACGGACGGACGGACAGGGGCGACGACAATATACGTCCACATGAAAATGTGATATAAAATAATTAATAGAATACAATATCAAAAAACCATCGTTTTATCCAACGTTTCGTCAGTAAAAATACTAACTTCTTCATTAGTATTTTTACTGACGAAACGTTGGATAAAACGAATATCAAATGCATCATTTTGACTTAGTCAAAATTGATCCCATCAAACCGTCTGTATTTGGTTTGTGTTTCCTGTTTCTACTGATTGGCAGTTTCACATGAAAATGTGGGCGTATAAAAATGGACCACTAGGTCTACTGATAAAAAAATATTAATTTATCTTTTATCAGCATAGGCAGATCTTCTAATTTCAAATTATTGAACAATTAAAGCCATTTTGGCTGACAAACTTGTACCTAAAAGCTCTCTACTCTGCCTGGCCTTGCTTCACTTTCACAATACACTATACAACTCAATATAACCTACAAGCAGGTAAGCTTATGTAAACTTCGTGAAATGTTCCATCCATTATCATATTTCATTCATTATCTAATGTTAGAATAGTTTCAAAAATACACAAGCCCAAATACTGTTGGTCACTATTTACAAAGAAAACCTGGTGATATTGCTATAACAGCTACTCTCTCTATTCTGGAAACATGTGGCTGTGTGGTATAAACAATAAGAAAGTCATTGACTTAAATAGCACATGAAGCTCTTTGATTATATACTCTTCAAAAAAAGTAGGGGATATTGAAATGCAAATACCTATGAAATGAAATGAAATGAAATGGGGTTTAACGTCCTACTGTTCTGCTCCTAAACTGGGCTAATGAAGACGGGCATACAGCAGTGCATTTCCGCAGTTTTGTATTGTTTCTGAATATCCACTACTTTTTTTGAAGAGTATAAATGGTGACTGATAGACTATGACATAACTTTACGACTGGTGTCATAATTTGCTAATTAAAGTCAAATGATATGTGTGTCGGATCATGCATTTTTAATTTATAACTAATTTAATATTTCAAAATAATTAACATACATGTATAAAGAAATAGCAATGACTAAACTTCTCCTTTTCGTTTGTACATTTATGGCAGTGGCTCACAACCCAGGAGGTCATGGGCTTGATACCTGCATTGGCTGAGAATGTTCCTCAAAAATTTTCCAGCCTGTGTTCACCTTGTCAGTGGAGCAGGAAGGGCGGCCAGCTAAGATAAGTGTTCTAGTCATTTGGATGGGAACGAAAAACTGAGATCCCATGTAGGGAAAAGATCCCTTGACAGTTGGAATTTGAAATACCGGTAAGAGATGGCTGTACAAAATGTATCAAGACACATGTGTACTCCATTCTACAAGATTGTAATTAATGACTAATATTAAAACTATATGAGCAGTGAAATCCATTATGCTGATCAGTTACAGAAAACATATATTTGAATTATTTGTATATATTACCTAATTATTTATTATTGTCCTTCTTATAATCAAAGAAAATCAGCATATTCCCCAGAATTTTAGATAGGACGGATCCATTTTGTCTACAAAGTTACTACAAAACTTTTTATAGTGATCTACTTTACTTTGGCACTACACTCGAATTTAATAACATAGTTAATAATTTATACTTAAAAACTCTATTTGAGGTATTAAGAAAAGCCGTGAATGGTAGAAGAATGATTATTTAATAGTTTAAATCGATGAAATGGTATATGTTCTTGTAATGCTATTAAAGAACTAAACTTGTGACCACAAACTCCACAAGCATGATCTGATTTTAAAGAGGATGATGTCATTGCTGATATAGATGACTCCATTTCATGCTTCTTATTAGCAGCATGAAGACGAGCCGAAGCTATTGTATCTATTCGATGTTGTTGTATGTGATGATCTAGTGCTACTGGTTCATGAAAAACAGCACTACATTGATTACAAGAATAGGAACCATTGCCACCAGTACACCCCTGACAATGTTTAATATATGTTACCCGAGAACGAAATGATTTGTTACAATTTGAACATAACAAGGCATCGCCTTTCTCAGAATTGGGTTTAGTGTCTACTTGATCTAACACTTCATTATCTAGTAAAAAGTCAAAATCTACATCATCCTCCATACTATTATTACTATTGTTATGTTTATTGAGATAATCTCTAGAGTTGGGACCACAGTGTTTCTTTTGATGATATTTCAATGAAGAGTAGGCAGCATATGATGATGTGCAGTATTTACAACCATACGGTTTTTCACCAGTATGTAAACGTTCATGAACTCGAAGAGAGACTTTTCGTGCAAATCCATCCCCACATATTTCACACTTGTAAGGTTTCTCTTTGGTATGACTAATCATGTGATCTTGAAGATTTCCTTTGGTAATAAAAGATTTTTGACAAGAGGGACAAACATAAGGTTTATAACCTGTATGAGTTGATAAATGAAACTTTAGAGTGTTAGCCTGACTAAATGCTTTATCACAGTGGCAACATTTGTGGGGTTTCTCGCCACTATGAATGCGCCTGTGTACGTCCATATTAGCCTTGTATGTAAATCCTCGTCCACATTCAGGACAATGATGGTCCTTGACATCTTCATGTATTTTCATGTGTGTTTTGAGGACTGCTTTTTGTCGAAAGTATTTTTCACACACTTCACATTGATGACCTTTCTGTCTAATTCTAGATGGTTGGCTAGTTTCTGGTCTACTACTGGATCGTTCAGGAGTGGCAGATGGCAGTGGGGGAAAATGGCTGGCATAGTGTTCTCTTAAAGCCGCATCACTTGTAAAGTCTTTCTCACATTCAACACATTCAACTTTGTGTCTAAGATTCAGTCTTGGATAATAGCCACTATTTGGATTCATATCTTGATTTAAATAAGAAATTGGTAGTGGTAAATGAAAACCATTAAAATTCCCCACTGGATTCATGTTATATTGGTGTCTTGGGTTCTGGATGACAATGTTGACTGCAAAAAATAAAAGTAAACATTAAAGACAACATAGCAATTTAGTTGTAACAGGACCTAATAGTTCAGTAGCTGTTGCTTGTCACGAAAATTATGTTATTTCAGCTTGACATCTTAACATATAACAATCATAAACATGTATAATACCATACATGTACCAGTACATGTATATACCTTGTACTACAATACCAATACAATATTAAAAGTTTAATGGAACTAGAAGTTAGAATTCCATGGACTAGTTCATGGTCTAAAAATAATTGGAAGTGAAGTCTGAATAATAAATTATGATTTTTTTTTCATTTCTTGGCTGATTTCAATAGACTGATCATCATGAAATCAGACAGCCTAAGAGTACTTAAGGATGTTACTGGCTACTGTTGGAAACAATTTTGACCTCATAGGTCTCTGATGTCAGATATTCATATATATTTTGGATATCAAGGAGTAAGGAATTCAAAATTTCCTTCTTAGTCTAAGCATAAGAGCTAGGCCTACTATAAGCAATGCAAAAGCTTGCTAGAGGCACCACTGATAATATTTTTATCAATGTCAAAAAACTGACCGTAAAATGTGTCGTTTTTGTTACGCGACTTTGGGAAGTTGTATGAACACCAACATCAGCGACTTTGTGCTTTTCGTGTTGAGACGAAAACAGAGTTTGTGTCGAGCGTGGTTTGGACATTCAAAAACGCATTCACAACTTATTTCTTATATTTCGAAAAAATAAAATAATCAGGAAAAGGCAAAAACGGCGCTCGTCACTGAATGTAAGCATATTTTCTGATAGAAAGACCCCTATATCAAAGGAAATAAATTATATAGCCCAAATCTAAAAATTCCAATAAATAGTTAATGGTTGCATGGATGTTTCCTGAAAATTTGATGCCTCTTCAATGGTTGCTGAGAAATTGTCTTCGGTCACTTTTTTTGCAAATTTAAAAAAAAGTGTATACTGTCATTACTGACCACGATCAATTTTGGGCCATAAAAGTTCAATAACATTCTTATTAGGGTTTCAGACTGCCTAGCCAGTGTGAAACACTATTGTTTTTGTTCGGATTATTATTCTTTGATTATTATTATTATTATTTTTCCATTTGAGTATATCTCAGAAACTACTTGTCGGATCGATTTGATGTCTTCGGTGTTACTGGGAAAGTGGGTTTGACTTAAATTTTAAAGCTATTTCCAACGTTCTGCGACAATGCGAAATGTCCGAAATCACCGAAGTTGTCGTTTTTCGATATTTTGCCATAATGTTATCAATAATTGTCGGATTGTAATATTTGATACATTTTGACATAGCCAGAGACAAGGCACATAGCTACAGTTCTTTGGATTTTTTATTTTCGACGAATCTTAGGAGATATTAGGTGCCAAATTTTGAAAATTTAAATTTTTACAAAAAATTTTTTTATTAATGAATATTTTTATGTGGTATTTTACTTAGGGTTAAAGAGTCATCTCATTTGACCAAAAATGGCAACATTTTTCGCCACCATATTTTTCCTTGGCCCCCATTGGCTTATTCAGTTTTTCAGTCTTGGATTAATTATTTATTGTTTGATTTGTATAAAACAAAGTTCATATACTCCGTGGTCCAAAATGTCATTTTTATTCTTACCAGTAAAATTGACTTTTGGCAACGGAAGTGACATAAATTTAGCAAAAACTACAATTTTGAGAGTTCGGTACCACTTTTTGAAAGCAAATATTATTTTTTTCAAATCTGGTATGACTGAAAGGGTGTGCCCTGTAAAGGCGCAGAAAACATCGGCCTCACTTTTTTTAATTTCGATTTCGTTTTCAGGTAATTTCGATTTAAAGGTGAAAAAGGGTGAAAAAATGAGCTATTTACAACCCATTCAGGCTTTTCATATTTTAAAATTTTTTTTCGCAACTTTCATAAACTAGTAGCAATAATCCATACGAAGAGAATGTATGTGAAAATTAGTTTGTAATATAAGCAGTTGCCGAGAAATGGGCAATTTTGCATGAGGCTCTTTTTACGCTAGTTTGCCTGTAAAAGTGTCAATTATTATTCGATTTTCATAAAAGTGACACCATTTGATGCGTATTGTCAATTTTAACTAGGTCAAACCAATTTAACATTTTCAATGTCACCGGAAATGACGTAATTTGGGCAAAAAATGTATTTATAGCCTTTAAACCAGTAATTTATTCAAACGAGTCGTATTTGTTATTTGTTTAAAATTTTGATATTTGATTCCAAGCAACTAATAGAATGAACCCATACGATCATATAGATATCACAAAATGGTTTCTAACTTGTTCAGTTGCGGAGAAAAAGATGGTTTTCAACAGGTAACTCTTCAAGGTTTTTGGTCCATAAAAGTGTCAATTATTATTCGATTTTCATAAAATTTCCTGTGTGTAATACCTAATGCCATTTACGATGTTATACAAGTAATTTAACACTTTTTCTGTCACCGGAAGTAACGTCATTTTGGCAAAAACTGTATTTTTAGCCTTCAAAACAGATATTTTATTCAAATGAGTCTGATTTGTATTGTTTTTAAAATTATATTTGATTTCATAAAACTAATTTAGAATTTTCATTATCACCGGAAGTAATGTAATTTTGTCAGGATCACTTACATGTAACAAATGTATACAATGAATTGATATTGCCGGATTTGGTTGATTCTGCGTACATTTTATTTGATGTGCGAAATGCTTACATGGAAACCTGTTTAATAGTTTCATCGGTACCGGAAGTGACATATGTTCAAGGGTAACGGGGCACCAGTGAAACCCGTCGTTACTGCGTCGCAGTTCTAGTTTCTTAATCGATATTGAAATTTGGGGGGGTTTCTTAAATGGGAGAGGGGTTGGAAAACTAGTAAATATTCAATTTTAGTCAGATTCAAAAATTTAAAAAAGCTTATGCAATGCTACTACTATAGTACTAGTACACCCTGACTAAAATAAAGCCAAGTACGAACAATCCAAACTTTTAGACAAAATACTAATATATCCGACTCCGAGACACACCACAACAGGGTGGGGTGTATACCCAGGTTCAGTAACCTTGCTAGGCAGTGCAATTTTTAAAAGGAAAAATGTAGTGCACCAAAATATTACCAAATAAACCGGAATGCAGACGACAAAGCAGCTATTTGTTGACAGAAAAGGAAGTATTCGCAATAATTTATAAAATTATAATTCGCCAAAATATTCGTCAGCCATTTTAGCTTGCCTTTTATAAAGGTAGATTACTCAGTTATATCTCAATTTTGGTTTCGGAACATGTGCAATGTGAATAGGAAAATTGGGACATTCTGTTTTGTTTGAATTTCAATCATTTTTGGTAGCACAACACGTTTTGACAATTTATACTGAACTTTAAATTAACACTGTCTTGCAGCTTTTATATTAATCATATTAAATATTGCTGTCCAAAATTACATGCGGATTCTATCCAAATCTGAATATTAAACTAACCACCGGAAGCGAAACTGAAAGAAGGTCAAACGTGAAACGTGAGAGTGACTTCTGCTCAATGTTAAAGTTTTAAAGAAAACAATAATGTCGTATCTTTATGTTAATCTAGGTATGATCTTTATCAAATAAGAAAATAGCATATCGACGTCATGCCCTTTTTACGTTTTAAACCTCCTTTTCTTTTCGAACACGACAAAGTCAAATAAAAAAAAAGTGCCCCCCGGCAATGCCCAAAATAATTATGAATATGATGAAATCAACACTGACAACAGTTAAGTCTAGTTTGCCTTACCATACCCGCATACTTGCGTCATAATTATTTTTAATGCTTGATAGAGACATAGGAACTAGTAAGTGATAGATTTGTTAAAGTCCTTATATGTAATTTTAGTGCTATAGTATAGATGAATTTCTAAGAGGAATATCAACCAGCGGTTGCCAGGCAAGATACGCCCACATTTTGCAAGAGATGGATAGAGAACAAGCTAAAAACAAAAGCGATTTTTCGTACAATCAGGGGCCGTATTCCAGAAAGTTATGGTCTGAAATGGGCAAATAACAAACAGGACTGAGATCCTTGCGATATAAAGATATATTTTAAGTTTCATCAAAATCAGATAAAAATTGTGATCTCTAGAGGGTCCACAACCGTCGTATTACATAATTTTTCACAATTTGTGTACAAAGAGCGGCCATTTTGTCTGGCAATTTCATTTTGATTTTCCCAAAATTCAAACTTAACCATCATTAGGATGTAAAGGTGATATACTCAAACGGTTTTTAAAATTGGATAAAAAATTGTGACCTCTTGAGAATCCACAAGCTAAAAATGTGATTTTTTGAACAATCAGAGGCCATAATCCAGGAAGTTACATTTGGATATGTGTGATTATCAACAGGAACCAAGATCTTTGTGATATAAATTCATCAAGATCAGATAAAAATTGTGGCCTCCATAGGGTCCACAACATTGATATACTATATTTTTACAATATTTGCATACGAGGGGCGGCTATTTTGCCTGGCAGTTTTGGTCCGATTATCACTAAATTCGAACTCAACCATCATTAGTGAGTAACAGTGATATATTCACATGTTTTTTTTTTAAATCGGATAAAAATTGTGAACTCTACAGGGACCACAAGCTAAAAACGTGATTTTTCGTACAATCAAGGACCATAATTCAGAAATTTTTATTCCGATTTGCGTGAATATCGACTGGAAACCAAGATCTTTGGGTTATAAAGATATATTTCAAGTTGCATCAAAATCGGATCAAAACTGTGACTTCTAGAGGGTCCACAACCTTGATATACCATATATTTACACTATTTGTGTACGAGGGGTGGCCATTTTGTATGGCAGTTTTGGTCTGATTTTCACAAAATTCAAACTCAACCATCATTAGGGTGTGACTGTGATATACTCAAGTTTTTTTTAAATCGGATAAAAATTGTTACCTCTAGAGGGACCACACCCTAAAACATGATTTTTCATACAATCAAGGACCATAATTCAGGAAGTTACAATCAGATATGTGTGAATATCAACAAGAAAAAAAAGATCTTTGGGTTATAAACATATTGTATTTCAAGTTTCATCAAAATCAGATCAAAATTGTGTCCTCTAGAGGGTCCACAATCTTGATATACAATAAATTTACACTGTTTGTGTACGAGGGTCGGCAATTTCCGTCCGATTTTCATGAAATTGGAACTCAAACATCATTACGGTGTAACAGTGATATATTTGAACTGTTTTTTAAATCGGATAATATATTAATAATTGTGACCTAGAGGGACTACAAGCTAAAAACGCGATTTTTTGTACAATCATTGGCTGTAATTCAGGAAGTTGCAATCCGATACGTGCTAATATCTAAAGGAACTAAGATCTTTGGGTTATAAAAATGCATTTTAAGTTTTATCAAAATCGGGTGAAAATTGTGACCTCTAGAATGTCCACAAGCTAAAAACGTGATTTTTCTTACAATCAGGGTCATAATCCATGAAGTTATGGTCCGATACATGCCAATATCGAAAGGAACTGAGATCTTTGGGAAATAGACCTATATTTCAAGTTTCGTCAAAATCAGATAAAAATTGTGACCTGTAGGGTGTCCATAAACAAATTATGGACAGACAGACGGGGGCGACGGCATAATAGGTCCACATGAAAATGTGGGCGTATAAAAATGGCTCTATTACGTTCAGTATTTACGAAGATATGTGAAATTGAAATTTCATTTATCTATGCGTCACACAATGCAGTAAGACCACTGCATTATTGATATGCGTTCTTAAAATCCGATTGAATCCAAGCCGGGACATTATCTGGCTTTGGTATTTTGATTTTGTTTTCAAAATTAAATATCAGCATGGATTAAACTGTGGGAAATGCAAATGGCTTATCAAGACTTTAATTATTTTAACCGTAGGGTCATGTAGAGTCATTCCATGTCAAGTAGACCAAATTCTCAGCTAACAAACAGTCCTTACATAACCTTTAATCAGCCCTTTGCCAATAGGGGATTAACTATGTTGGTTAATACTAAGCAATTTCTCTCATTGATTGATTTTTAGCCTGATAGAAAACCACTAATAAACATTCCATTCATTTCTCAATAATTTATAAAATGTATTTTCAGGTAATAAAGATTAACTGTTGAAACAAAAAATGGCGGAAGAAAGGATCACACAATGGCAGAAGATCAAGAGAAAATTAAATGTTGTGAAACCAGGGACCACACCTCCAAACTGGAAATGTATTGGTCTGATGTTTGTAGCTCTGGTAATCTTCTTTTACTTTGGCAAATATTTATGGTACAAATTATCCCAAAATGTTGCGCGTAGTTTACACAGTCATAATGAAATGAAAGGAAAGCTTTTCATCCTTGCCTGAAATCAAATTTTAAGAGCTATATATTAACCTTATGAAATAGCTCTTCTCAACCATTTACGCAAACCATGTTAAAATTGACCGACTGCGATTCCTCAAGGCTCCTTCATTAATACTAAATTTGAACAGAAACAGGAACTGACTCAATTGAAAACATTTTCCATTTTCTGTGGTCTTTGATTAATCCAGCTCTAGTGCCCTTTCTTTTTATCACTGTAACAATGATTATTTATTAATATATTCTGTTAATATATTTCACAATTTCAGTTATCAAGTGCCTTCAGTTTGAGTTTTCTGTTTCCATTTTTACCTGAAATGGTTTTGGTAAGTTTAATGAAATGGATATGTTTAACTAGCTGTATACTGTATTAAATATTAAATTCAAAGTATACTGATAATTTAGACATTAAACTCAATTACCCAGGGGCGTAAATGTGTGTGTGTATGTGGGGTGGACCAACCCCGGGGAAAAAAGTAGTCCGTCGCAAAATAAGTGCATGCTGTCGGTCTAGACATCATGCATCGGCGACTAAATGAATTAATGACGTAAACAAATAATGCCAAAATAGAAGGAAAAAATCCCAAATAATGTATTTGCCTAAATCCGTGCACCTTAATTGCATATGTCAAACTCCTCGTGCAAAACTATAGTATAAAATAAACTTGTCATTTTTGAAATGATGTTTTTCACTCTTATTCTGTTGTCTGTATGTTACTATGTTGGTTTAAGAAATGTTTTTTAAACAAGATACATTTGTACACTGGCTTACTTGTAGCTGCTAGAAATCATCAATTATATTGTAGTTTGGGAGTGACTTATCAAACTTCCCACTTTAAAATGCTATTGCATTTCTAATGATTTTAAATTTATCCTGATATTACATGTATATATGTCTTTGTAGTTTAGGAGGGACCTATGGAAGATTAGTTTTTTTTTTGCAAACTAAATACGTTGCCTCATTAAATAAAGTTTTTATTATTATTATTATTATTATTATGAAATGAAGAAACAGGCGCGTGTACATGCATGCCTATACATGAATGGGTGGACATTGATTTTTCATTCCATCTGATCAACTAGACACGTTTCCTTGCCAAGGGGAAACCAGACTGAGCAATCATAAGGAAGTTTCTCGGCTGGCACCAGGTTCAAACTCAGGTTGATAATAAAGTAGAGGGTTATTATATACATGATCTAGGATTGACATCCGACCAAGAAACAAACAAACTCTTATATAGAACATGTATATCTAATTTTTAACTGGTATATTGTTATTTTATTTAGACGTTTGGCTATAGTGAAGAAGAAAAGGGATATTATGTAGGGTTAATTGCATCTAGTGTGTTTGCTGGCAGAATCATTGGCAGGTATAGTATATCTGTAAATTTATATTTTAATAAAGCCAGAAACTACTTTGTTTTTGGCATTTGAAAAGCACACCATATAATTTATGGCAGCACATTTAGCTTAATATGGGGTATGGTTTTTACTATTAACAATATTTTTAATTGTCCCACGCCTTTCAAAGAAAGCAGGGGACTATTAAAATGGGTTCGTCCATCTGTCCGTCCGTCTGTCTGTCCGTCACACTTTTTGGGACACAATAACTCTCTTTCTAATTGAGCTAGAATGTTCAAACTTGGTGTAGGTGTTTATTAGGTCAATACCTTGATGGAATTCGAAGATGAGCATTTTCCGCTTAGGGTAAGCAATGATAAGCAATTTGATTGGTTGATGCTTTGGGACACGATAACTTTAGTTCTAATTAAGTGAGAGTGATGAAACTTGGTCTATAGTTTCATTACATCAATACCTTGACTAAGTTCGATATTGAACATTTTCTGCTCAGGGTAAGCAGAGCGATAAGCAATTTGATTGGCCAAGATTTTGGAACGCAATAACTCTAATTGAGCTAGAATGTTCCAACTTGGTGTAGGTGTTTATTAGGTGAATCCCTGGATGGAGTTCGAAGAACATTTTCTGCTGAGGGTAAGCAGAGCGATAAGCAATTTGATTGGTCGAGACTTTGGAACACAATAACTCTCCTTCTAATTGAGATAGAATGTTCAAACTTGGTGTAGGCATTCATTAGTTGAATCCCTTGATGGAGTTCGATGATGAACATTGTCTGCTTACGGTAGGCAGAGATAAGCAATCTGATTGGTTGATGCTTTAGGGGCAAGATAACTTTGGTTATAATGAAGTGAGAGCCTTGAAACTCCCTTATATAGATTCATTATATCATTACCTTGACTAAGTTCGATTGTGCGAATTTTCTGCCTGGGCTAAGGAGCGATAAGCAATTTGATTGGTCAAGACTTTGGAACATAAAAACTCTGCTTTTAATTGAGGTAGAATGTTTAAACCTGCTGTAGATGTTCATTAGGTTAATGTCTTGACTGATTTCAATGAATAACATTTCAAGCTAAAGCTAAGCAGAGCTAATCGATTTCATTGGTCGATGCTTTGGGACAAGATAATCTTGATTCTATCTGATAGAGAGTGATGAAACTTAGTGTGTAGTTAGATTGCTCGATACTTTTGAAAAAAATAAATGTGCGATTAATTAATATGTGTCATCTATTTATTTTGGGATTTCGGTGGGGGACATCAGCCTCACTGTTGGCTTGTTAACATTGTTATAATATATTCTTTTTCTGTAACCTGGATTTAAAGTTAAACATAATTTTTCTATAACATAGACTTAAACTTAATTTTATATAGCCTAGATTTTAATATAATTTTTCAATCCACTTCTCTTTTGATTTTTCTAGTTATATATGGGGTTACTTATCAGATGTTAGAGGAAGGCGAATAGTTCTTCTTGTCTGCATATTTTGTAATGGTTCATGTTGTCTGGCATTTGGGTTTTCAACTAATCTAGCTTTAGCTATAGTTTTCAGATTTTTGGCAGGACTTTTAAATGGTATGTTTTGTCAACAGTTTTGAAATATTTTTTAAAAATACGAAACAAGAACTTTACTTTCATGACATTATGGTATATTGTGAAATGAAATTTTTGTGTCCTTCAATTGGGTAATACATAAACCAAGTATTCAAACTGTGATAATCATTTGGTGATTCTATCCCTGGAATGTACTGGTAATTGATTCCACCCTGATTTTGTGTGGAAAGTTATTGTGGTCACTCTTGACTATCCGTCCTCTAACCCATTAAGGGTTTTCTTTATGAACATCCTGAGATTTCTTGGTTAGTCTAAGGAAGAGTGTTGTTGAAATTTAGAGTTGCCCATGATTTTTATATGGACCATGTCACCAAAATATTGTAAATGCTCTTTGGGTCAGAGTTTTAGAGAGATTTTTTTAATCGAAATGGCTGGCATTGTTTCACTTCAAAATATTAACAGCTAATCAGTTTTTTGGCAAATTTTGTTCATCTCAGATTAGCTAGTTATTCTCGCAAAATAATTTCTTTTAGCTTTACCCCCTTTTTTGACAAAAATTTCAAGTGTTTTCACATATAAAAACTCTAAATTTAACTGTATTGATTGTGTTTTAATCCAAATTTATGTTATAAGCTGATCAATTTCACTGCCAGTCATTCAAGACTTGCAAAAATGACTAGCAATGAGAAAGAATCCTATTGAAATTCAGAATTGTTTATGTTGTTCCATGAATATTTTATGTTTTACACTTTCTTCAGGGATAGTAGGAACAGCTAAAGCGGTATTATATGAAATATCTGATGATACTAATCAAGCTATTGGTATGTCAACTATATCTCTTGCCTGGGGATCTGGTTTAATCCTTGGACCAACTCTAGGAGGTACGGTAATATTTGAGTAATTGGTCACATTAAATGAAACAAAGGATTATAGAATACAATTACATATTGTTTATGCTACACTATAAAAGTGCATAAAAATGACGCCGTTGCTTCTCGGAGGTTGTTTTGTTACTTACAATCTTTTCTTCTAAGGGCTGTATTATCAATAAGGAAGACTAGACTGAACTTCTGAAGCAGAGATGCACCTCAGGAACTTAGAGCCTGGCCGTTTTTTGTTTTTAAGGCACCCTTACCAGCTCCCTAGGGATCTAATAGTTATAATCTCTTTGCACTCTAGACATTTTTGATATATGTATATTTATTCATATAGGGGTATGTACAGTGTTCTAGTGACTTCCGTACATGGGTCAGGCTGTCAGCTGTAGTGGGGTGAATGAAAGAAAGTCACAGAAGGAACTACAAAGTACCTAAAAGTCATGGGTTAATACAAAATTTTACCATAACTGGTTATATCTGATCTTTGGTTATATATTGTTCAAAATGTCATTACTGGAAATATGTTGTTTGTTCATAAATATAATTTATAGCTCTATTAACTTTTAAACTTTGCTATTTTTGTCACAGGATGGTTAGCGTCGCCAGCTAAGAAATATCCTAATTTATTTGACCCAGATGGTTTTCTAGGAATGTTTCCATATGTATTACCTGGTATTAGCTGTTTTACTGTATCTCTCTTCTCATTTGCTTGGATTTTCTTTAAGTTTGAAGAAACGAGCACAAAAAAGTAAGGACATTAAAGTATTGAAAGATCTTTTAGTAACTCAAAAATAAATAAAATTATCTCACACTGTCTTAATAGAATTATAGCTTTATTCAGGGAAACAAGGATTTAAAATTCAGGATTGAAATTAAATAGGGTTTAGCAACCTACTTTTCTGCACCAACCGGACTAATGAAGATGGGCAGAAACCATTAAGTGTGGTATGAGGAAAATTTTTCCCAGTCTACTCTTATTTCAAATTCCAACAACTGTCAAGGGTTCTTTGATGTACATGCCGTCAAATACACAAGACTGTTTTTTCATCCCATCTGAATGACGAGATGTTCCTTACCAAGGTTTCCATCCCACACCCTCCCCTTGTCAGTGATGCAGGATCGAGGGCCTGACAAGGACAGCTGTCTAGTCATTCGGATGAAACGAAAAAAACGGGGTCCCGTGTACACATTGGCGTGCACGTAAAAGATCCCTTGACAGTTGGAATTCGATAATAGAGTAGGCTGTAGTGCTGCTGTACAGGCAAAATTCCCCCTCATAGCACACTGTATGACGTATACTCGTCTTCATTAGCCCAGTTCGGAGCAGAACAGTAGGACGTTAAACCCCATTTCATTTCACTTCATTTCCATCCTACACCACTGACAAGATGAAAGCATTCTGAAAGACCCTGAGGAACTTTCTCTGCAGACATCAAGCTCGAACCGTGACCTCTAGGTTAATGAGACAGTGCCTTACACACTGAGCCACTACCATGGCTGCACTCAAGATCAAACTTTCTTCGTTGGCATGTGTTTTCCCTCCCACCACTTCTATGTTCTAATTCTCATATTTAATATCATCATCTCTGTTTCTGTAAAATATTTTATAAAGTTCCTATGTCACATGACCTTACAAAGGTTATAATAAGCTAAAAAAAATATACCTTTAGCTCAAGATTTGATGTTATTATTCTCTTTTTGGAATATGTTTTGTATCTATTTATGTTTTAGGGATATAGATATCATTATTGAAGATATTGATGGAGATGTTGAAGAAATGGATTTGACAAGTTCTGAAAATGTTCACAAATCGAGATCTGTAGAAAATTTGAAATTAAATCAATATCAGGCTATTTCTTGTGAAGATTTACATAATGAATGTGAAGCAGGCACTTTTTTTGTTAAAACAAATCTGATGAAAGAGGAAATTCTGAAATCCACTGAAGGCTTAAACAAAAGTGAAGCTAAAATTAACAGAACAACAAAAGATGAAATAATTTCTGGTGAAAATGTTACAGAACTTCTTCTAGAATCCAGTGCAAAGAATGATTTGAAGTCAAATTCTGATTTAAGTATAAATAAACTGAATAATAGATATGAAACAAAAGATGACAAGGGTCAGGATTCAGCCACAGATTGTACTGAAGATGACAAAGATAGAGAAAGTAATAAAAAGGAATCTTGTTGGTCAAGATTTGTAAATAGTACACCAGTTGTATTGATGCGGTATGTATTAATGGTCAACTTACTATGAGTTTAGGAGGTTGGGTGGCCAAATGGTTGAATGCATGCACTTATATCATAAGATCTGTCACTGAGTCAAGTAGTTTTGATTCCTTGCTTATATGTGACAAGGAGTAGGGTGGTTTTTCCAGCCTTAGAGGTTTTCTCTTGGTCCTCCAGTCTCCTCCCAGTGCTAAAACAATCCGATTAAAACACAGATCCTATTTTGTTTCGTTTTTTTTTATAGTTCAAAATTTTGTTTTACTTGTCATTACTGCACTAGGATCTGGAAGAGTTATATAATATAACTTGCATTCTGGATGTTGTGAGGGATTAGCCAATGAAACGGTCTGTTACGGCGAGTGTTTGGTGTGAGATGCACGGAACATTGGGTAACCCACTAGATACATTGACGCCGATTGGTTAATCAAATGTCTGACGTCGTAGGGTCAAAAGCCACTCGTGTGACCCCGGACGCAACCTTCCCCTACAACATGTCAGATTGTCATGTAGTAGAGGCCATCGAAAGTATAAAACAAACGAAACGAAATATAGATCTGCATTTTAATCAGACTGGTGCTAAAGACTTAACTACTCATATTGAAATAAAATTGAACCAAATGTTAGTCCCAAAATGACCTAGTTTGTGTTGAGTGAACTATGAGTTTTAAGGAAACAAAATATATTGATTTTGATCTGAGGTGGCCATAATGATTTCCCAATATAAAGTTTTATTTTTAAATTTTTGAGCATATTCTTTTTTTTTCAGTACATCAGATATACGAAACAGTATATTACTGTATACAGTTTATTCATTTGGAGTTATTGGATTTGAAGATATTTTTACAATTTGGGCATCTACTGAGCCAAGATTAGGTATTTACTTTAGATCATTTTGCCTGTCCAGCATCATGGGTTTTTCTCCAGGTCCTCCTGTTTCCTCCCACTACTAAATACCCCTACACACAAATTATTGAAATAAATTGAATCATATGTTAGTCCCAAAATGGCCTAATTTGATTAAACCCCATTTCCCTCTCTCTTTCTCTTTAGATTGTTGATGTTATCATTTTCTTATGAACACTCTACAGGTCAGAATCTCCCGAATCTTGGCATAATTTTTTTAAAAATCGACAAGATTTTTTATTATGTGTATGATATAACCCTATAAAATTTAATAAATTTGGACTAGGTTATCGGAATTTAGAACTCATTTTATCTCAAATCACTGAGTTATCCTCCCTTTGTCTTTCCGCAATTCTTGTCAGAGTTTTTGCATCCGATAGTTTTGAAATGAGATTGTAATCGAAATTTGATTAGATAGACTATCTACATGAATATGTAATTTTCATTCACGGACATAAATATTTAATGTTCATGTAGTAGCTTTAACTGGTTTTGTGCAACAAGCTCTTAGAGTCATAATGTCTTTAAAGCAGTAGCTATGCTCTATATTGTGCAGTGTTTCAGAGTCAGAGCTCACTATATAATAAAAACATGCATTTAATTATGTATTTCAGATGGATTAGGTTTTGATACAAGTGAAATAGGAACCATATTAGGAGCTGTAGCTATACCATTATTACTGATACAACTTGTTATTTATCCTCCTATAGTTAATAAACTAGGCATTAAAATGGTTTGTATTGAAATCTACTACACTCTTTTATACTGTATTGTATCTTATCTTTTGGTTTCCAAGCATGTCATATATATTCAGCGTTATGCACAAGAGAACTATCTACTTTAAGAATTAGTGTCTTAATGCGATTCAAATCGGGGGATCATATGGCTAAGTGGATAAGACGCTGGCTCGCTAGCCTGGAGGTCGGGTGTTCGATCCCTGCATTGGCCGAGAAAGTTCATCCAGATTTTCCGGCGTGGTTCCCACTTGTCAGTGATGCAGGACGGAGGGCCTGGCAAGGACAGCTGTCTAGTCATTCGGATGGGACGAAAAACCAAGGTCCTGTGTACACATTGGCGTGCACGTAAAAGATCCCTTCACAGTTGGAATTCGATACAAGAGTAGACCGTAGTGCCGCTGTCTGGGCAAAATTTCCCTCATAGCACACTGTATGGCGTATGCCCATCTTCATTAGCCCAGTTCAGAGCAGAACAGTAGGACGTTAAACCCCATTTCATTTCATTTCATTTGCTATTCAAATCCGTTTTACAACTTTCATACACTCAAAGATTTAACCATTTCAGTTTTGTTAAATAGAAGCAGAGTAAATACTTCTCAAAAATCTCAAAGTATAGTAAATATTTTCTTCTAAAATCACTGATTTAGGAATTACAATGTTGGTCAAAAGAATAGCTTACTTAAGTTTTTTAGATTCTGTTTATGGCCAGCTTTTATGAACAATTTAAATATTGGAAGAACTGATAAAGAGGCAGTTAATTAAACTTTTGTTTATGGTCAGTTTGAAAGAACAATTACAATTGTTTGGGGTTTTTTTAATGGTAACATTGCTTCTTTCTTTACAATGATATATTTGATGTATTAAATATAACTTCTTTATTTTTCAGTCATTTATTGTATTTAATATTGTTATAATAATAGCTGTACAAACACTGCCAGTTTTACATCTGATATATGACAAGTAAGTTATTTGTATTTAATATAAATCTAAATTTATAGGTTACTATACAGTATACCAGAGGTAAGAAATCCTTAATGTGAGAGGACATTACATCCATTGTCAAACCAAAACCACTTATTTATAATTACCGGTACCCATAACAGCACAACTTGCAAATAATTTTCTCTCTGCTTTTTAGAAGTTTAATGCAAAGGTTTATGTTGACTTTCATTTTAAATGATAATCGATTTTAACATACTGGAGCCAATTATTGAGATTTATTACACTTCATCAGCGAATATTGATAATACTGATTTTGTTAGGCACATCTGGTTGTCTTAAAATGATCGAAAAAAAATGTATTCACAAGTCATTAAGAGAGAGAGAGAGAAATGGGGTTTAACGTCCACCCAACACAAACTAGGTCATTTCGGGACTAACATATGGTTCAAATTTATGTCAATAATTTGCTTGAATGTAGGGGTCTTTAGGAGTGGGAGGAAACTGGAGACAACCCATTCGGCCATCCACCCCCCCCCCCCATAAGTCATTAAACAACATGTAAAACATTTCCTTTCAGTTTGTAAAATTGAATTCATTACAGTACTGTAAAACATCATTTGGACTGACTAAAATTGTACTTGTATATAAAAACTTTTAAATTATGGGGCACCTTTCCAATGCTTTGGCTGAAATAGCGTAATATATGTAACTTGTAAATATAGTACAATACATCCTCGGTATCCCCAGTGTTCTCATTTCGTTGCACTACTCCACTAACCTAGATTGGTTAATCCATGGTGAGGATACATATTTAAGTTATCTGCCCTTGATGATTGTGCTATTTTTATCAGCCAGTCCCATAAATTGTTAATTGCAAAGAAAGTTGGCGAAGGAAGTAACTTTCATCGTGTTGCAACAAGCCACCATATTGTAAGAGGCTAAAGAGTCTTAGTAAGACTGGTTTGTAATCTGTTTATTTGATTGGTTCGTAGAGCAGATAATTTGAAATCGTGAAAACCCTATGGATTAACGCAGGGTATAGTGGAGTAAAACAGAATGAGACCACTGGGGAAACCGAGGATGAGGACAATAGTTTTCAGTGCTTGATAATAACATTAACTTTTTTCTGATTTCGTTTCAGAAAAATTGTCCTATGGGTGTTTTTGATACTGATTTTACTAGCAGAGAAACTTGGAGTTAATTGTTGTTTTTCTGGTTCATCTCTACTTATTAACAATTCCTGTGAACCAAAGCTGGTAGGAGCTGTTAATGGTATGGCAATGACCTTTACAGCCATAGCAAGGTTAGGAATTGTTTTTTTTTATTAGCCTGTTAGTCTTATGTTTTAGTAAGATGTTAGCTCACTAACCTGGAGATCCTGTGTACAATCACTATTCATTGGGATTTTCCTACATGGTTCCCCCTTGTCAGTGTTGCAGGATAGAGGGCCTGGCAAGGGACATTTAGAGTCGTTCAGATGGGACAAAAAAAACAACAAGGTTCAGTGTACACATTAGCATGCATGTAGAAGATCCCTTGGCAGTTGGAATACGATATGATAGTAGGCTGTAGCACAGCAGTCCGGACAAAATTTCCCTCAAATTACACTATATTGTGTAATGTGTATGCCTGTCTTCATGAGCTCATTTAGAGCAGAACAGTAGTATGTTAAATCACATTTCAATTCATTTCTTTCTGTTCTAATAGCATCTTGATCCCACAAATTCACGTTCTCAGGAGTAGCTCTAGTTGTTCTGATAGGACAAATGGCTGATGTCCTCCCATGTACACACTGACATCCATATAAAAGAACAATTAAAAGTCTGAATTGTGTGAAGATGAGGCAGAAACACCCGTGCAAAGTTCACCTCCCTATCATTGCACATGTGACAATAAAGAAATTTAACAAAATTTTAGTTTCATAATTACCAAATTCTTGTGTTGATGAAGCGTTAAAACCAACCTCACCATACTCACCATTAGTAATTTGAACCACATTGATGGATTCATTCAGTTTGACCAAGCTATCTTTATATCCTGTTATTTTTATTTCAGAACGTTGGCACCAACAGTAGGAGGTAGTTTATTTGCCTGGTCTGTAGGTTACGGATCACAACATATTGGAGCACCATTCGATGTTAATTTATCATTCATATTTTTTGGTTTGGTTTTTATGTTAAGTTGTTTAATGTGTATTTTTCTACCTAAAAGCCTCAACAAACAGAAGAAAGCCATGGCCATGTAATGACTTGTTAATGACAGATGGTGTCAGATTGTATATGATAACACTGAAGACAGTATGGCTAACACTATGTCCAAAGAAGTCATAAAGGGGAAGTTATGTGTTCCCGTGTTAGATCATGTATTGTAGTTAAGGTATAGCTTCCAGGTCATAAAGTGGGGGAAGACAATATATTTGTCAAGTGGGACTTGGGAAAGGCTGGTGTTATTTGTTTTTACTAAGATTGTTAAAACCATATGAGTTGAATGCATAACACATTAGTGTATGACAAACAGCATCATATTAAAACAAATTGAAAGACGTCCACATATTGTAAAAGTGTGTGAGCATGACAAATAGTGGTAGACAATTGTATTTTTATGCTATCAATTTATAACAAAATATTGTGATAGTCAATTTTATGATACATTAGAATCTCACTATGGTGTCTGTTATAACCTGGTGTTCAGTATAAGTCAGGGGGCGTTATAAGCATGACTAATTACCTGAAGTCCTTCTGTATAATAGTTAGCCTTGCTATATTGTGAGTGCACTTAGTGGACCACAACATCTATGCGAAGCTGAACAAGTTTGTGCATAATATCCAGTCAAAATATGACTGTAAAATGTCTTCCTTATGATGTCATGCTTTTATGATGGCATAGTTCGACTCCAGTTTGCTGTTTCATTTTATTGAAACATATGCGATGTCGTAAGTTAGGTTGCTAATTCTTGATGTTAGTTGATCAAAAATTTTATTTATTAAGAATAAGATGGAAACATGATATAATCTCCACTTATTTTTGTCCAACAAAGGTTAAAATACAGAAGTTTATATAATGCCAAAAATCTGTTATAGATGTAATAAATTCTATAAAGCTACAGTAAATGTGTATCCGATTTATTTTTTCAAATATTGTCATTAGAATATGTGATAATTTAATTTCTTTAAGCGTACAAGTATCCTATTATACAATATAAAAGTTTTGAATGTAATAAAAATTTGTTGTCTTTGTGAGGACATATCAAACCAAAGAGTTTTTTCTTTGAAATTTGTTCCCTCCATTGCCATTGATTTAGTTAAATTTGTCCATTGGATATTTCCTTTTATAGATTTGTTCTGTATCTTAAATGACTTACAGTTACATCTTACATTCTATAATACACCATGTCACATCTTACTTTTATTCTACAATACACATTGTCCCAAATGACTTTTATTCTATGACATACCATGTCACATCTTATATATTACTTATATATTATAATACACCAAGTCACATCTTACTTATATTCTATAATATACCATGTCACATCTTACTTATATTATACTTAATATACTTATATATTATAATACACCATGTCACATCTTACTTATATTCTATAATATACCATGTCACATCTTACTTATATTCTATAATATACCATGTTACATCTTACTTTTATTCTATGACATACAATACCATATCTTACTTATATTCTATAATACACCATGTCACATCTTACTTATATTCTATAATATACCATGTAATATCTTACTTCTATTCTATAATACACCATGTTACTTTTATTCTATAATATACCATGTAATATCTTATATTCTATAATACACCATGTTACATCTTACTTTTATTCTATGACATATCATGTCACATCTTACTTTTATTCTATAATATACCATGTAATATCTTACTTATATTCTACAACACACCATCTCAAAATAACTTTTGTTCTACAACACACCATCTCACAAATAACTTTTATTCTAATATTCATTTAGTTACAGTTATTGTTTGAATTTGCAACTCATTTTGCATGAACAAAGAAACCATGAAATTCCTGATTTTTTTCTCAGCATTTCATGGCACATTTGTGATAATACCAGTATATATTATTGTCTCTTGCCTTTTAATATATTTAATAGGTTATATTATGTGCCAATATTTCAAGTTGAACAAAGTATATTTATACTGCACAAGACCTCAGTGTTTTATCATTATATTGGACAATGTGTAGCTCTAGACTATTAAATAACATAAAATACACCACTTTACTTCATTCTGAAGTATGATTATAGTTGAAGTGTAATTAGCATAAATTCAATATTATATTTGTTATTATATGGTGATTTTAAGTATAATATGGTTATTTTAAGTTTTATATGGTTATATTAAGTTTTATATGGTTTTTTTATGGTTATTTTAAGTTTTATAGGTTTTAAATCTTTAGTGAAAAGTGATATTTGATTATTTATATGATTTTATTTTTGGTTCCCTGTGTTACTTTGTGATAAGTTGTGAAGACCACCATTAATTTCTCATTGTCTTTAATGTTGATTCTTGTCATTTGCGCGGCCCCACCTTTTTCTAAATTTTCGTTTGGCTGAATTCTTTCCATCACCGATGGAGCAACAACTGGTCATGTTCTTGCTCCAAAAATTTCACTGCATACTATATTATAAACATGTAATTAGTCGCCGTACTATCACCGTATCCAAACCCTTATTTCTGTTATTCTTCCACCATTTAACCATGATTAAAATACAGATGTGACATCATCCTTTGATGTTGGCATACCATTATTTCCAATAATGTACGGGCAACTTGCCAATCGTAGATTATCTATACATTACTAGATGAAATATTGGACAAGCGTGACGTATTTCATTGAAGAGCATGTGCGGGATAGTGTCTGTATTTTAAGTTGTTTAATGGTCTCGAGCTAAAGACATTGCGTAATATATTGAGACAACACTCGGCTAACGTGTCGTGCAGTATCAATATATTACTTAATGTCTCGCTCTCGACCAATAAACCATACAATTGACCAAACCCAGCAGAAAATGTCAATTCAAACCCTCTTCTTTGATTGTTGACTAATAAATCAACTTAAATGGCCATGCAAAAGGGGAGAAAAGAGACAGAGAAAAAATACTATTAATATAAGGAACCACATGCACGGGTTCGATGATTGTGAAATTTAATTGTGGTCTGCATCCATATCATTATTTTGTATAATTGAAGCTTCTACAAACTAAATCCTTTAGTAGCATTTAGCAATTTGAAACATGACAAAACTAACACAGTTATACATTTTTTATAACACATGTCCAAAGGTTAATACATCAATATTCTAAAGGTTCGTTGATGCAAAACTGAAGTCTTGAAATGGGTCTACATGTCAAAGATCCAATATCAGTAGACTTAAAATACATGTAGATCTTCCTAGCATTTTTCTGACCTAAACATCTGATATCCTATTTAATTTTTCAAACTGATTCAACAACATAAAGAAAGAATTGCACAAAATTATTTCCTTTTGAGCCATTAAATTAAGCCTTTAAAGCAAAAATTTCATATTTTCTAAGAAAGTCAAAACAAATTATTTCTGTCTTTTGCTCAATAGGTTGTCAACTCACTATTATATCGATCATAGTTATCATTCTCACACTCAAAAATGTTTCACACCGGAAATAATAACACAATTACCTCCTAATTACCTACCATGGAATCTTCAAACGTTTGAATTTGAAGTTGAAAATGATATTTTTGCCAATTTCTCAACTGGCAATAGTGAATTATAGGATTATTCTTTATCAAGGTAGGACTGTTTATACATAGCATCGATTTTAAGGCTTTATTTTAATACATTTTAAAAATATAACTTAAAAATATGAAATTGTAGCTTTAAACTGTTGAACTGTTAATTAAATTACTAAACCTAATGTCTAATGTCTAGTCTAGGCTAGTAACTTGTTATTTTTATGTGTATACATTATTGATTATGCTTGTGATTTAAATACTGGTATATTTGTATGTGATGATATATTATCATTTTGTAATCATAAAGATGTATAACCTATTGTAATTTTGCAATTACAGTATAAAGATTATGTTTAACCTATAGTTATCATATTGTAATCATGTAGAGTAAATATAACCTATTTTCATATTGTAATCATAATGTAGAACCTATTATCATAATGTTTTCATTAACATAAACTATAATGTATATAGAGTGGTAATACTTTTCTTATGTCGCCATAAGGGGATTGGATGTCCGAATGGTTAGCACATGCACGCTGTATCATAAGGCCTGTCATTGAGTCAACTGGCATGGTTTTGAATCCCCTGCTGTACATGACAAGGCATAGGGTAGCCTGTCCAACCTTATGGGTTTTCTCAGGGTCCTCCGGTTTCCTCCCATTGCTAAAGACCCCTACGTACAAGCGAATTATTGAAATAGAATTGAACAATATGTTAGTCCCAAAATGACCTAGTTTGTGTCGAGTGGACATTTCTCTCTCTCTCTCTCTCTCTCTCTCTCTCTCTTATGTCGTTATAAATTATTATTTCCAATTCTATCAAAAGTATTGTATAATGTTTTCTGTACAAATATTATCAACAGATTAAGAAAAACACTTTCACAATTTTTTTGTGGTCAAAGTCTATGTCATGAGAAGAATAAGCGTGTTGATTTTCAACAATTTCTGATAACTGATTTCGGAGGCTTTGTAGCCAGTCTGTCTGTACATCCATGGACACTAGAGGCTAAAGTTTTTGTCCCTAAATTGTTACACTGTTTGCGAATTTTGTCCTGTATTTACAAGTTTAAAATGTCAACTCTAAATTCGTCAAGAACTTTGTCTTGTATTGTATTTTCAAGGAAGATAACCCTTTGATTTTGTGATCAAAAATGTATGTAGAGTATACACAATATACACACATTATGTGAGTCTATACAGATGAGAGCCAGATCTATGCTTTCTGATGAATTGAAATTAGTCAATGTTTTATTTGTATTACAAATAAGGTGTATAGCTGATGTATAAATTACATGTATGGTTGGATGTAAAATAATATAAAATGAGATATTTATTTTTTGAAAAAAATATATCATGTTTATTTGTTATGAGCAATGTTTTCAATCGCTTATATACACATATTCTATATGGAACAAAAAGTTTTACATATATTTATAATGCTTTGTGGACTATGGTTTATCTTAATGGCTCATATGAAAAAGTCCAAATCGGCTCTTTATGGTACCCTCACAAACCTTAATAACTATCTCCCAATCAACTTACTTACCAAATCTGGTAGAAACCCACCATGTAGTTCTGAAGAAGGAAAATGCAAAAAAAAATTAACGGAATAACAATCGGGGTATGCAGGGTTTTAGGCAACTGTGGGAGTTGCCGATATAGTTCCCAATACTATCAAGGTTTCCTATTCTACTGCAATAAATAGGTCATTTTCATGGTCTGTAACATGGCAAATCTCTTTCAAAAATAGTTTTAAAGGTCCATTATGTAAGATTTCTATAAAAGATTTCGGGCACTGTACACATAGATTTTTGTCAAAAATAACTATTTTTATGAAAGCTTCTAATGGAATTTTATGATATTTTTCAATCAAATTTTATGATGTATTTTTATCAAATTTTATGTTTTTAAATGTTTTTATCACATTTCATGACTTTATGTTTTTAGCATTATCAAATATTATGATTTTTTTTTTTTAACTGCACTGAGAGTAAATAACTTATATCAGGTCCATAAAGTAGTGTTCAGCCAGTGTTATGCAGATAAGAACATCCCACCAGTAGCACTGGTGGTATTAATGGTCGCAGTCATCTTCTCCTATGTTCATATACCCACATAACATTGACTGAAAGAGCAGCAAGCAGGGGGTCATAAACAATAATTCTCATATTCATATCCAGATTTATAAGTACAGAAATTTATTATTGGGAGTAGCTAATTATGGTTAATTTTATATTTTGAAAAAATTTTCATTTCATTTTATGAAAAATAGTGAAATTTTATATTTTTCCTGTCTATGAGAAATGACAAACTTTTATGAAAATATAAATGTTTTTATATTGTAGTTCCTA